CAATTGTATTATATTATAGTATTGACTATTCCACTCATTACTTTTTGGACCAATCAGATTTCAGAAAACGAGTGGTATTTTCAGTTTTGCAGCGATAAAACTACTATTCAGGTGAAAAAACCACTCGTTTATACGAGTTGCATAACAACCAATTGGTTGCTATGATAAAAATAATTGTCACTGTTGACGTTTTTAATTTTAAAATTAAAATGTTAAAAAATATGCGTTTTGGTCCAAAAAATCATACAGAAATTGAATCAGCAGTTAAAAATATTCGTGAAATAGTCTTGCCGAATACCACTCGTGATAAAATTTTCCCTGAAAAAATTTTTGATTTTTATTTACTCAAGATTTTTCCTTGGAAATTTCGCTCGTGGCATTAACTTCAAACCACTGGCCTAGCGGCTCGTGGTCTCACTTGCGAAATTTCCAAGAAAAAAACATTCGTATAAAAATCAAAAATTTTATCGGTAAAATTTTACCACTAGTGGTATTATATACGATAAATAGTCTATTAATACAATTGTATATAGTATATTGTATAGTATATTATTGTATGCAACACTTACTTCGTAACTTTACTAAGTATATCCCCTAATTTCAGTTTGAAAACCAGTGATGGCATCTTTTTTCGGAAACTTTGCACACTCTTTAAATAGGTATAAGCAATCCGAATAACAATAATATAATAAATTATAAACATTTTGGACAGTTGTTACAAACACGTTACGAATTAGAATAAACTAAGCAGAAACATAAGTTGCAAACGCTGAAGTCAGTTGAACTTGTTGATGCGTATTGTCAGTGGAAAATGTTTTGATTGCCTTAAATCACATGTACTTATTTAATAAAATATTTTGTAACCTTTGAAATTAACAAAATGCTTACAAAATTGCATATTACCTTTACAAAACGGTAAAATATTTTCCTTTGTTAAAATAAATACCCTCGTTTAAAACAAACTACAAACGCATGTTAACAAATCTGATTTTTATAACAGTGTATTAATACATTTTTTGGCATGATAGTTACATTATTCTTGTTAACATTAAAAATTAAAAAAATTAATGGTTTTATTATTTAAATTTTAGCGTGCCCTGTTTTTATTTATTTTATACTAAATAAGATACCGGGTTCTGAGTCGTCATATTATATTAGATTTGAATTTTTAGGAGCTCCGCCATCAAAGAAGTCTGAAAAACCCTGTTTTTAGGTATAATTTTACATTGGTACCCCAGGGTACCTACAATTAAGTAAATTTTTGAAAGTTAAAAAAACAAAAGAGTAATTATTATACATAAAGTGCACACTCAATTTAAATTTAAATTTTATTACATTAAGTAGTACCTATCTAATTATGGTTAAATGTTTTTTTTTAATTGTTAAAGCATACTATACATTTAAATATAACAAAATATATATTTATCTACCTAATAAAACATTAAGCAAACATTAAGCAAATTACCGTAGTTAAGGTGAAAAACCCCAAAATTATAGACACTTGCCACCCAAAAACCTTGCAAGATTACCCATATCATAAATAAAGGAGTAAGTAATTTAAACTGTCACCACAGAGCCAAGCAATAATAGGAATAGGATTACCAACCACCGCAGTAATAAATAGGGATCAAAATAAATACCTAAATATTCACCCGCACGCCCTTCCCGTTAATATCGAACAAATAAATACTAAATATTAATATCGTATAGTATTTAAATAGTATCAAACAAATAGGGGATATTTAATATCTGCTATTTGACAGGGGTGAATTTTATTAAGGGTCATTAAGGAATGCATTGAAAAGTCAAAGCCTTTTATACCAGTGTATTTTATCCACATGTTCATTTTTGTATGACACTCAATAATTAGATCTTTTTGGTCAGATACAATTTAAAAAAAATATATGTTGGCGGTTCAAGAAGTCCCTAAAAACGACGGTGTATTGGCTTTTAAATAAAAGTAGGTATTAAATTACTGCACAAAATCCGTCTTTTTTTATCGAAAATATTCAGTTATTTGCAGCGCCGCACACTGGTTCGAATGCACCGTTTGGCGGAAATAATTAATTTAAATTTAAATAACTATTTTAATACCATTAAATATTTGTTCTAAAAAAGATTTATTCCGTATAATTTACTTCATATTATTTATTAAAAAATAAAGGTTATTTCTTTAATGCGTTTTTAGAATTATTTCTTATAATTTACTAAATTTTAACTACAAAAAATAAAGGTTTTTATTTTTTAATGCGTTTTTGGATTTTTCGTTAATCCTGAGGTAGGTACAAGCTACCGCGATTTAGCCATGCTGCGCGACAAATAAATATTCATAACTTTTTTTTAATATATAGGATTTAAAATATAAGCGTAATTTTAAGCCAAATGCACTGTTTTACACTAAAAAAAAGCTGTCAGCGGTACCCATGGTTATGGTAAAATAGGCGCCAACCAGTAGAACCTTAGTAGCTACCATTACAGAATGGTAATGAGTTATTGTTACGAACTGACATTACAGCAAAGTGATTGTTACCACTACTGCTTTAATTAAATTTTACCACTACATGTTGATATACAGCCCGTTCAGAGTAAAACCGAATATAGGGAAACGTTTTGGGCGTGGCCTCGCCTCCCTCGAACTCGCGTCAAAGTAGCTTGTGTAATAAACGACATGACGAAAGGTCGAGCAGGTAAGACGACCTTAAAAATTAAATGATAATAATGCAAAAAATCTCATTAGCGATGCAGGCTATTTGCTTAGCTACTGTGTCGCGCGTTGGAGGGAGGCGAGGCCACGCCCAAAACGTTTTCCTATATTCGGTTTTACTCTGAACGGGCTGTATAATAACCGTTTTATTAAAACCTTTTAAAAGTGGTAATTACCACTACACACTGTTGAAACTTACGACTACAAATAGTTTTTAAAACAGGATATAACAGTAAGGCGAAGCCAAAATTATTGTTTAATTTGTATTATTGATTGCACTTAAGATAGTAAATAAATGACAATTGTTTTAAAAACATTCTTTATTAAAATAAAATTATTTATATGAATTTATATGCTGAAAGTAAAATGCTTATAAGCATTCTACTTTCAGAGTTGATACAATTAAAACAAAAGTATAAAATTACCAAAAATTTGAGTTCTCTATAAAACGCCGACCACTGCATTTTAAACAACAAAATATACCCACGAATTCATGGCAACATAATATTATATATAATACATAATTTAATGGTATTTTATCGTTGAGTGGAGACTTTCTTAATCGACGCTTTTAATAATGCTAAATGCTGTTTAAATTTAGACAACTTATTTGTTGATGATTTTTACTGAATTGAAATGTTTACACTTTTCACGTTAATCATTACTAAAATGTGTATTTATTGTATCTAAAAGATACAATTATATTTACAGGGACTGTAAGAAGTTTATTTCTTCATTCGGATTAACACTTTATTGGAAAACCGGTAACAACTCAACCCAGGGTTTCCTCTCGAAATACACCCAACAACACAACAAATCGTGCCACGGTTTTTTTCCGATATTTTTTTAACATTTTCCGGCTTTAACCTCAAAAACATTCTTTTGTAACATAAGCGTTTGACAGCTGATTATTAAAAGTTGTAGTTTTGTTACGATGATAACGGCCGAGTGGTGGCGCTACTAGCGATGCTTCTTTAGCGTATATTGCTTTTTTATAAAGTATGAGCAATCTTTGACAAAGGAGCAGAGTCTCGGCCAAACAAAACTACATACATACATAAAATATTAGGGATAATTTTTATTGTACAGGAAGACAATAATTGTCTTATTATTATTATTATTATTTCTTAAAGTGCTTTACTAAAAAATATATTAAATTTTAAATTAGTTTGAGAATCTCTGCCAGGGAAAAGTTTTGAATGTCAGGGCGCGCCCTGATTTTCCCCTTGCTAAGGGCCTGCAGAGAATCCTAAAGGCTGCGTAAAGTGCTTACCGTATAATGCTGGCTCTGTTATTTCCCAGGTTATTACCAAAGTACGAATACGTACCACCTAGCAAGTATTTAGTCTTAATGAAACCACCTAATAAATATGGCTTAAATTATTAAGCACACTATTGAAGTAAAACTTCTCAAAGAGATATAAAAAATGTCAGGTGACAGATGACAGCTGCCAAAAATAAGGGGACAAAAATTTTTTCATAAATTTGTTGAAAATTTATACTCACCTTATCGTTTTTTACTCGTCAAACTCTTTCATTTGATACCCTAGTCAAGAAGGTTGTGGATTTTTAGCGACGCTTTAAAAGTAACTTGCCCTCATGAAACAGTTTAGAACCTATCATTGATATTGCGGTAGTTGCAAAATAAATGACGTAACATTTGGCAACTTCATGCTCTCCTGATAGTTTTCTATTATCTGTGACATATTTTTCGCTTAAATTTTTTGCACTTACTTAAAGAGGGTTTACTTTAAAAGTGGTATAAAATACCCATTTAAACCTGTTTTACTTTTTAAAAACCCTGTGTAAATAGTTATTTCTGAAAATTGTAGCTTTACTTATGGCCGTTGCTGTAGACACTTGAACTAATCTCTTTGTGCCGTGTAAATTGCGACATTTAATATTTAGTTACCCTAAAAAGTTGAACCTGCGACAAACAAAGTAGCTGTAATGGAAAAGTTGAATCGGTCCGAGCGAAAATGTGACTTTAAAGAAGGATTCGCAGATGAATTGAATTGTGGGGGTGAAACTCTCAGGCCCATTGCACAGATGTACAATGAAGGTATAATTTTCCCCTCGAATATGCCATTGTCTTTTAAATCCCCTTAATGACTGCTGCCGGGGGACGTCGAGAGCACTGAAATTACGGACGAAAAGCCTGAAATAAGCTTGAAAAATTATTTACGCCATCTTTGCCTTTATTTACGTTCAAGTTTATTGAGGGCTTTAAATACATATTCTTTTGCTTTCATTCTTCAATTTTTTTTATTTGAAACCACAAATTTTTAAAATACTTTATTTATTCATCGTTACTTTCCTCAACAATATCTAAATTTATATCATTGAACATTTCATTACTTAAGCTAGATATTTTTTTATCAATATCCTTTAACGCCTTTTCTAGTAAAAATGTTGACATGCTCTCGTACCCACAAGGTTCTAAATCAGACTCTGTATCTCTATCTTCTGAATAACCCTAAAAAATGACATATATACCTACTTGAAATTACAAAAACGTGTTCTTACCTTTAGCTTTTCATTAATCTCATTTATTCTTTCACTTTCTTCAAATGTAAACTTGTATCCATTTGTTAAATATTCAAAATCTTTTTCCTTATTTTTCTCTTCATCGTATTCTTTTCTTGTTTTTTCTTCATTTATTTCTTTTGAATGCAGATCATCTGCAAATATAAAAAAATGGTGCGCCGGTGAGTGGACGCACTACAGAAGCTATGCTTACGCGGTTTAAATATTAAATTTTTTTAAAAACTTTGGGTAACTTTGAAAATTATATATTTTTTTAAATTTTAGTAATTTATCAAAATTTTAAAATTTTTACAAAATTTGGAAAACTTGGTAGATTTTTTAAATTTTTGTTAAACCATTTTGAATAAGTGCGAATTTTTCCTACTATTTTTAAATTACCCCACTGTAGAAACTTCTTCGACTATTTTTAAATTAATCCTACTGTGCTAGTTTGCCCTACCTACAGGTAATGTTTAATTTACACGCTACGTACTAGATGGCGAGATGAAAATGTCTCATCATGTTCTCCTGATAGGTACTTAAATACTATCTGGTAAAAAATCGTCCCCCTCTTGGGCGTGACAAATCATAACGGTCCTTCAAACCCCCCTCCCCCACCAGCATCACGAGATTTATGGACAGTAGGGTGGAGCGAAATATGAATATTTTTAAAATTGATAACACCTGTATATAGAAAACTTGAGTATGATAAAAATAAATATTTTGGTGAAAAAAAAATATTGTTTTAATTCTTTCCACCGCCTTAAAGCTATCCTAAATATAAAAATCATAAAATTCAGACAAGAGCAGTTAAAAAAAATTTTTTGAGCAAAGATATTTTAAGAGCATAATTTACTTTTTCAAAAAAAAAAAAGCTGGGGGCTCCCGGTCAATTTTAAAAATAAAAATACTTTCATATTTGACACTGACTGGGGGTTCACAAATTTCGCTTATTTTTTTTTTTTAATCAAAGTGGAAAAGTTACTGATGTAAATAAACATGTTGGTAACAAATATATATTTATTTTTAAATTCCTTCCACTGCCGCAGACCCATGGCAAACACAAAAATTATAATTATAATCTGAGCTGGGGCAAAAAACGGTAGTAATATAAATATTTTTTTTTCAGCCAAGTCGTTTATTTTTAGCATAAGTAACTTCTTAAAAGTTGAGCACTTCAATTTTCAAAAAAAAACCAAGCGATTGGGCGGACCCCCAGTCAATGTTAACTATGAAAATATTTTTATTTTTAAAATTGACCGGGGGCCCCCATTTAGCTTCTTCATTTTTGAAAATCAATGTGCCCAATTTTGGAAAAGGGCGATAGTTATTATTACTTAATTTCATTGCTGGGGACTGGTTTAAAATTATTATTATAGTAACAACACATCTTCAAACATTTTGGTTTTCTTGCTTGTCCCGTTAGTAATCATGGAATCGCCCAAAAGTTATGCTCTAAAAAAAATCTTGGCTCAAAAAAATTTTTTTTTTAATCGTTTTCTGCCATCGTCTGAATTTAATGATTTTAATATTTAGGATAGCTCTGTATATACAGGCTTTTTCAATTTTAAAAATATTCATATTTCGCTCCACTATGAGCCTGATTTTCGTAATATCAGTAAACATTTCGCTGTTTCTAATAAAACGTTTGGGTGTATTTTTTTCTCAAAAGAAAAACAATATAATATATGGATTTTTTATTCCTTAAATGCCGGATTTTAGAAAAATATTCAGTTATTTTGTGCGTTAACAAATATTGAATGGTTTATTGCTCATTTTATTAATGTTGACCTTGAGACTAGTGTCACTCCCATGTGTGTTTTATGACAGAAATAGTGATTCCATAGGGCAAGTTGTGTAAAATACTCTTTAGAAGTGATTGAGAGTAATCTATCCAGATGTAGAGGACAAATTATTTCATGCAGATAATGAGGAGACTTTTAGTAAATTTTAACAAATTTTAAGACAAACTTCTTTCTTAAGACGATATGAAAACTGGTTGAGAGGTGAATTTATTGCGGAATCTGAGAAAGACGATAAAAGAAAAAGACCACAATTTATCAACCAGTCTTTCAAATGTCTCAATAAGGCGTCCGGTCATCATCAGTGTCGAAAATTCGCAGAAAAGAGACATAAAAATGCAACGAATTTTCCGACTTGGTGTTTTGCGCTTATCTTGTGTTTAATATGAGGACATTATTTTCAACTTGCTATTTGCTTTGAACCATTTTGCCTGAGAATTGTGAAGATTTTCCAACAAAATGGTTCGAAGCAAATAGCAAGATCTGGTAGGGGCCCTTATACGGGAAAAGCTGCTGGCCAAAAAATTTCTGGGTGTCACGCCCAAAGTCTATTTTGGACAAACAAAAAAAATTTAAGACTTCCAGAACCGATTTGTAAACTTCTCGCAAAATGTTGGCCCTGTCACGAGTTTCAAAAGCATTCAAGTCTTTCAGCACTGTCAAAACCGAGAATTTGCCCCTTTATTAAAGTCCAAATAATAAATTGTCGAGTATAACACTAAAAGTGTTAATGCTGAAATGATCTCTACCCGTCAATTTAACCTTGTCATTTATCTGATTGTATTTTTTCTATGTTTACCTAGTGTATTACATAAAAAAAATTGAATCCTCCCAGGATCTGCCGCCCCCCAAAAATTTGCACATGCCTAAATCCGCCACTAGCAGTAGGTATATACGTAAGAAAGGCATAATTTCAACGTTAGCAAACATTTACGTCGCCCTCAGAACTTGATGCCGTTCATTGCTGAAATATATACGAAAAATTACCAAATTTGGGGAATCGTTTATTTCGTTATTTTACTTATCGTTTATTTCGTTATTTTACTTACATACTGACCTTTTTGATCTACTAAGAGAATAACGTAATAAAAACAATATAAAAATACCACAAATTTACGTAAACAATATTTTCTATCTGACAAATCTAAATCTAAATACAGATCTAACACCTGTTGTGGCGATAATGATTGTCCCTGTTCTTCTAAGCTCATAAAACGCGCAGATTCTTTAGCCGCAAAAGACAGTTCTTGGAAACTACGAGAAGCTAGTAAATTTTCTACTCGTCTTCTTTTTGTTTTTAGACTGCAGGCTTCAAACGGCTTTGAAAGGCGACCACGATTACAGCCTGGATCTGTCTCGTGTTCAACTAAAGTGGCCAAAGATGGATAAGTTTTTAAAGAATCTAGAATCTGTCAGAAACCGATCACGCTTTCTTTGAGATTTTTGCCACTTTTGGTCTATTTTAAAGCAAAAAAAGTGTGCAATGTCATGAAGCCTTTTAACAACTTCATTTGAAAGACCATCTGTTTTAAAATAAGTCAAAAGAGTCTGAAAGATCATCTCTTCTACTTGAGACTTTTCGCTAGAGATCCATATCTCAACAAGATCGATATATTTAATGGACGGAAATGTGCCTAAAATTAAAAAAATCATGTACTTGCGCAAAGCGGCGCAAAAAAAGTTGGTTAGTGTCATCAAGTATACAGACCTTACGAAAATATATCTTGATAAATTTGGAAGGGTCAATTTGGGTCTTTTAGAGAAAACGCTTATTAAAATTAAACTACTACTATTTTTGTTGAAACATTTTTGAATAATTAGTATGGGCCTAAATTAATTATTTTAATCATTTTTTATAGTACATATAACGCTATAATTACTAACTGTTTGCTCTACCTTTCTAAAACATTGACATATTCGTAATTTCTTTATTCTTTTAATTTATATATTACAAAATGGTACTTAGAAAGTAATAATGGCCACCTTAGAGTAAAATTAAAAAATATAATTTAAATTGTCAAAACTAATAATATTTTGCATTAAAACTCAAACGCTCATTATTTTATTGATAAGAATAGGCACGATACATCTTAAAAATTATATGCCCTCTAAATATATTACGGTTTTAAGAAAAATTATTGCTTGGGTAAAAATTCAACAAAACATAAAACCTACAACATTTTATAAAATCTTTTAAAAACCATTTAGTTTTAATCATTTTTTAATGACTAAAACTTTCCTTATTATATTTTAGAACAATATTTATGAAAAAATATTATAAAAATGTTTAGATAAGTAATGCCATCTTAAAAAACTCATTATGGCGACCTGAAAAAATTTTTTATTTAAGTTTACTTTTCACTTTTAGCTTATTTTTCCTTGTTTAGTCGATATTAATAGTATTTATTACCACGAATAACCCTCAAAAATACCAGGCGATTAGGAATTATTTACGGTTATAAAGTGGTCTTAATGTCGTAAAATTATGACTTAAAAGAAAAATTTACCATTAAGTACAAATTCTGACGTTAAAATTACCGTTAAGTTTTACTTCAAAGTAAATTCTTAAGGTTAATTTAACAAAATATTTACTTAAATTAAGTAATATTGTCTCAAAGCTCTACGCTTTTACTTAAAATGCTGCTTGGACTGTATCCTGCAGGAAGATAATCATTTTCCTGCAGGATACAGTCTTCTTTGTTCAGCGATGCATCAAGAAAATTGTGCTCATCTATAAAACTGCAGACGAACTCCTTAAGCAACTCTTACTTGACTGAGGGCCGATTTTTCAATGTCCAACTAAAAGTGGCGGTTAAGTATCTTACAGTTACCTTTATCTGATAGTTATCCGAATAGAAGTGTTTTTCTTCACCTCGTACAGTTCCAGTTTAGTAATTTGGAAATTGGGCAACACTGTCAAGATATATTTTAATTGGTTAAATTTAAATTTATGGCATGCGCATAAAACACATAACCTCAAACAACTCTTATTTTGTGTATATTGTTATGCTTTTTTATTATTTTATAGGTGTAGATATGGGTTTGTTTTTAAATAAAAATACGTACATAAATATCTTTTATACAATTTATTATCTTTTATTTTTTGTTACACACATAAATTTAAAAATATCGCATTTTTCAAATAACATTACCAAAAAAAATCTGTAGAACTTGTACCTATGTATCCGTAAAAGTTTCGCAGTGACTACGTGCACGTTAGAGTGCCTGCAATTTAGTTTTTACGGGCACGCTAGTGACGTAATTGATGAAATTCGTCATACACTGACGTGCCGCTTAATTTAAAATTGGCAATAGTAAAAAAGTAAAAATATTTAAATAGATACAATACAGAA